TAATGAAAAACAAGCCACATTCCTGGAATATTTCACAAATAAAACATGAGAAATCATATTGTACCAAAAACATTAATAGTGAATTCAATGAAACATGTCATAAAGAGAAAAAACAAAGTTGGCATCTAACACGATGAGATGAACAGAAGGTAACTATTGCCCCAGATACACTTCTCAGGGGGATTTAACCACAGGCTTATGATCTGAACAGATCTGTGTCAGCTATTTAAGAGAGCCAAAAAGAAAAAAAAAGTTACAGACTGAGAGTATTTAACAATGCAGAAAACTGAAGCAGCAACTAGTAAAAGTCATTCAAATTGTTATTTTCATTAAGGAAGTTGAAGAAAATTATTAAGCCACAAGGAACTAGGAAAGATACAGAAAACTCAAAAACACAGAATTTGAGAAAAGTTTAGTGGCTTTTTCTTTAATCACAGGAATGTGTAAAGAAGAAGACTTATGGATCCTAAAAAATATTAATTGCTTAAATAGATGACATTGATGGATATTATTTTCCAATAAATGTTAGGTATTCTAAAAAAGAAGGGTCTGCCTATTGTCATAGAATACATCGATTACTTTATGTGACAAACAGATCAAAAGAAGTATGTTTGGGGGGAATATTTGTTTTTATCCACCTTTAAAATTTTGGCTCAAATCATATTTAGAGGGAGTTTCTCAGCAAGAGGTCTTCAGTTACGCAGCCTTCAGAGAACATGAATGAACCACATCCCTTTAAATGGTAACCTAGCAACTTGCTGAGGGGATTAGAACACAAGGATCCTTGGGGAGGAAGGAGGATTCAAATCCTAGAAGCAATGCTAACAGTCCTCTGAACTCCTGACCTATTAAGGGACAAGACAAAAGTCATTTATAAGTAGAACAGATCTTATTCAATCAGTAAAATAAGCAACCCAAGTCTTGAGCGCTTATTATGTGTCAGACATTAAATGATCTCATGTAATCCTCACAATATCATATTCTCTCCGTTTTACTAATAATTTTACTAATAATGAAACTGGTTAAGATTTTACTAATAATGAAACTGGTTAAGAGAGTCTAAGTCACTTGCCCAAGACTCACAGCTAAGAAGTGCCAAAGCTGGGATTTGAACCAATGGCTGAGAACCCAAGTGTACACTCTTTCCTCTACACCACAAGACAGTTCTGATCCACAGTGTTATAACCTTTGAAGATGGCTACAGACTACACCAGGGCTCAGAGCACTGCTTAAAATCCAAGAGGCACAGAGATAAGTGAAATTGATAATATACAAACAATGCAGAAGACAAGAGAAAGCAAAAGGTGGATTTTTAAAGTTGGGTCTTTAAAATTATCAACAAAGCCAGGTGCAAATTCTCATACCTATAATCCCCACACTTTAGGAGACTGAGCTGGGAGGACTGCTTGAGGCCAGGAGTTCAAGACCAGCCAGGGCAATATAGTGAGACCCCCATCTCTACAAAAAGCTATTTTTTTTTTAATTAGCAAACCATGGTGATGTACACCCACAGACCTAGCTACTCAGGAGGCTGGGGCAGGAGGACCACTTGAGCCCAGAAGTTTGAGGCTGCAGTTAGCTAGCGTTGCACCACTGCACTCCAGCATGGGTGACAGAGTGAGACTTTGTTGCTAAAAAAAAATAAAATAAAAATGATCAATGAAATTGACAAACCTCTAGCTAGACTAAGGAAAAAAAAGAAAAGACTGAAATAAGTGAAAGTGGGGACATTATTACAGACCTTACAGAAAATAAAAGGATTATAAAAGAATACTATGAACAATTGTATGCAAACAAGTTAGATAAGCTAAATGAAATGGACAAATACTTAGAAACACATAAACTACCAAAACTGACTCAAGAAGAAATATAAAACATGAATAGACCTACAACAAGCAGAGGTTGAAGGGAACCCATTCTATGAGGCCAGCATTACCATGATACCAAAGTCAGACAAAGGCATCAGAAGAAAACTATAAATGTTCAACAAAATACTAGCAATTAGGCCAGGGGCAGTGGCTCATGCCTATAATCCCAGCACTTTGGGAGGCTGAGGCGAGCAGATCATGAGGTCAGGAGTTCAAAACCAGCCTGGCCAACATGGTGAAACCCCATCTCTACTAAAAATACCCGGGCATGGTGGCACACACCTATAATCCCAGCTACTCAGGAGGCTGAGGCAGAGAATTGCTTGAACCTGGGAAGTGGAGGTTGCAGTGAGCTGAGATTGCGCCACTGCACTCTAGTGTGGGTGACAGAGCAAGACTCCATCTTAAAAAAAATAAAATAAAATAAAATAAAATACTAGCAATTATACACTCTGACAAAGTGGGATTTATCTCAGGAATATAAGGGAGATTCAATACAAAAAGTCACTCAATGTAATGTACCACATTAACAGGATGAAGGGGGAAATAGCATTTCAGTTGATGTGGAAAAAGCATTTGACTAACACCTTTTCATGATAAAAACATACAAAAACTAGGAATAGAAGCAAACCTTCTCAACATGACAAAGGACATTTACGAAAAACCCACAGCTAATATCATATGCATAGAAAACAGAAAGCTTTCTTCCTATGATCAAAAACAAGACAAAGATGCCCTCTTTCTATTCAGCAGTGTACTAGAAATTCTAGCCAGAATAATTAGGGAAGAAAAAGAAATAAAAGGCATCCAGGTTGGACAGAGAACTAAAATTCTCTCTATGTGCAGATAACATATTATATGCAGACAAACCTAAACACAAAAACTATTAGAGCTAATAAATGAGTGCAGCAAGGTTTCAGGATACAAGATCAATATACAGAACTCAGTTGTATTTCTATATACTAGCAGTGAATAACCCAAAAATGAAATTGAGAAAACAATTCTATTTACAATAACATCAAAAAGAACAAAATATTTAGGAATAAATTTAACGAAGAGGGTACAAGACTTGTGCACAGAAAACTATAAAACCGTGATGAAAGAAATTAAAGAAGCCCCAAAAATTGGAAAGACATCCCATGTTCATAGAATACTTAACATCATTAAGATGGCAACACCCTCAGAAGTGATTATAGATTCAATGCACTCCCAATCAACATTCCAACAGCCATTTTTGAAGAAATGGAAAAGTTGATTCTAACCTTCATATGGAATTGCAAGGGACCCTGAATGGCCAGAGATCTTGAAAAAGAACTGTATGAGAGGACTTACAATCCCAATTTCAAAACTTAATACAAAGGTATGGTAATCAAAAGAGTGTGTTACTAGCATAAGGATAAATGTATAGTTCAATGAAATATTAAGAGTCCATAAGTAAACCCATACATCTGTGGTCTACTGACTTTCGACAATAGTGCCAAGACCATTCAGTGGGGAAAAGAATAGTCTCTTCAACTAATTGTGCTGAGACAACTGGATATCCAAATGCAAATGAATGAAGGTGAACCCTTACCTAACTCTACATTAAAAAATTAACTCAAAATGGATCAAAGACTATTTAGCCCTAACTATAAGAGCTTAAACTAAAAAACTCTTAGAAAAAAGCACAGGGATCATGACCTTGGGTTAGGCAATGGTTTCTTAGATATGACACAAAGAATATAAGCAACAAAAGAAAATGGGTATCATCAAAACAAAAAACTTTCGCTCATGAAAGAGCACTAACAAGAGAGTGAAAGACAATTCACAGAGTAAGAATATTTGTAACATATATATGTTGTCTAACATCCATAACATACAAAACTCTTATAATTCAACAACAATAAAGACAATCCAATTTTAAAAATGTACAAAGGACTTGAATAGGCCTTTCTCCAGAGAAAATACAGAAATGGCCAAAAAGTACATAAAAAGATATTCAATGTCATTACTCATTAAGGAAATGCAAATCAAAACCACAGCCAGATACCACATCACATTCACCGGTATGGCTATAATCTAAGAAACAGAAAATAACAAATGTTAGTGAGGATGTGGAGAAACTGGAACCCCTATACATTGTCGATGGGAATTAAAACGGTGCAGCTGCTATGGAAAACAGTTTGACACGGAGTAAGTTAAACACAGAATTACCATATGACCTAGCAATTCCATTCCTGGGTATACCCAAAGAATGAAGATAGGTGTCCAAACGCCTTTTCCATGAACATTCATAGCAGCACAAGTCACAACAGACAAAAAGTGGAAACAGGCCAGGCACAGTGGCTCATGCATGTAACCAAGGCAGACTGCTTAAGGCCAGGAGTTTGAGACCAACATAGGCAACACAGTGAGACTCTGTATCTAAAAAATAAATAAATTTTTAAAATAAAATTTTAAAAAAAGGTGGAAACAAAAAAATGTACATCAACTGATGACTAGATAAACAAAATGTGGTCTATCATTGGAATGCATTCATTAGCATATACAATGGAATGTTATTCAGCTATAAGAAGGAATGAAGGACTGATATATACTCCAACATGGATGAATCTCGAAAACATTATGCTAAGTGAAAAGAATCCCGCCAAAAAAGGCCACATATCACATGACTCCATTTATATAAAACATCTAGAATATGCGAATCTATAAAAATAGAAAATAGATGAGTGGTTGCCAGGGACTGGTGGTATGGGGACTGGGGATACCTGCTTAATGGGTATCCGCTGTACTTTGGGGATGATGAAAATGTTCTGGAACTAGACAGTGGTGATGGCTGCACAACATTGTGAATGTACTAAAAAACAATGACTTGTACACTCTAAAATGGTTAAAATGGTAAATTTTGCTATGTGTATTTTACCACAATAAAAAAAATAAACACATGTACACATTATTCTGGGGGAAAAAAATCAGAGGAAAAACATAAGCAGAAAACAATTTAAGAAATTATAATATTTGAAGTATAACAACTCAATTGATTTTTCTCATGGCCAAGGCCCTTTCCCTATATATATGTCATATCAACTTCTTTAAGACAAGGATGTCCGGGCCATGCCCAGCTCCGTCCTCCGTGGGAGAGGTTATACCCACCTCCAATTCCTCTAATATTGTTGTCCTTTGTAAGAATAGCGTCGGCATGGAATACCAAAACTGGAATTCTCCTACAGCCTCCAGTCCACATGATGCATGGATGATCCCTATAATGACAACAAAGCCTTCATTAATTTACAGCTCAAAATCCGAACTAACTGCTGATGCAGATTACTATGGTTTGTTGCTTAGCAAGTTTCCCCTTCCTTCTGGAATACAAATCCCAAATATCCTGTGGGAAATCACATCTCCCATTCTTAGTTGTGTGTTTAAAATTAACTCTATTTCTGGTCCAGGGATGGGCCTTGATTGGTTTCAGCCAATCAAGATATTTCATCATTCAGTATAGTTAGTGGTTCAGAGATAGGCACATAAACCAATTGGAGCCCATGAGTTTAAGGAGACATGTTCTGAGACTCTGAAAAAGCAATGGTTTCTTTCTCTTCTGTAATGGCTACAGATGATACCCTGTCTTCCTCTTGATGGTATAAGATGAGAATGAGAAGTCTGAAATGTCAACAACCATTTTGTGACCTTGAGGGAAGAGCTTGTAGCTGTTGGTGAAGGAGAAAGTCAGCGGGAGGTTGACTGAAGAGATCCTGGGCTTAGTTAAAGTGGGAGTTTCAGAATCAAGATATGCCTGAATATGAGTGAACATATTCTCTTTATTACTTACGACCATTTGGATTATGTTGTAATCCTTTGCACACATCAAGAATCCTAACTGATGAGTTCACAATAATTTACATACTCCTTTTACACGCCATAGTCCATTTTCAAGCCAATTTGATGATGCATCCTAAGATTCTGAACTAGGAACTCTGAATACAAGCATCCCAATTAAAATCACGTATTTTAAAGGAAACCCATGCTAAATAGAACAACATATATTTTCCTCCAGTATAAAACCACAGGGGAGAAAAAGACTTCTGACTTTATTCTTTTTCCCTATCCTCGGGAAATCTCAGCTTAATTTTAGGCTGATGAATATTTACTCACAGATTAGGAAAATCTTCACCCTCATTAGGGCAGGGAGGTAGGAAGAGAAATAAAAATGGAATGAACTGAGTCCCTACTATGTGCCAGGATTTAAACTAAGAGCTTCACATGTCACTTAATCCCCTTGCCCATACTATGAACTGAAGAAAAACTGTCTCAAGGTTAAGTAACCTGCCTAAGGTCATACAGCTGGTTAAGTAAGGGATGAGGTATTTGAACCCAACATCTGTATTCTTTCTACTATTTGCTTCCCTAATCACATTTCAGCAAAGTTCTATATATTGGATACCTTGAATTCAATTATTTGGGAACTTAAACTGATCAATTCCTTAAATGCAATCCAGTTGGCCAAGATTCACTCGACTCTTAAAAACTTACATAACCACATCCCTTAATAAAGGACATACCACAAATCTCAGGGCCAAGTCAGCCCCTCCCAATCCAACTTTAAAAAGATCCACACTCGGGCTGGACACGGTGGCTCACGCCTATAATCCCAGCACTTTGGGAGGCCGAGGCAGGCAGATCATGAGGTCAAGAGATCAAGACCATCCTGGCCAACATGGTGAAACCCCATCTCTAATAAAAATACAAAAATTAGCTGGGTGTGGTGGCATGTGACTGTAGTCCCAGCTACTCAGGGGGCTGAGGCAGGAGAATCAGTTGAACCCGAGAGGTGGAGGTTGCAGTGAGCCGAGATCGCGCCACTGCACTCCAACCTGCCAACAGAGCAAGAATCCATCTCAATTAAAAAAAAAAAAAAAAAAAAAAAGATAAAAAGATTCACACCCTGAATGCACAGTTTGTCAGGTGCCCAATCTTAGGAGTGAGGCAGTCTTTAGACTTGGGACAAGCTGCCAACTGCTTTCTAGTGAAGAAAGCAAAGAACAGCACACCTAGTTCATTCCCCGTTTTCTAGAAATGGCATGTGGATGCTTATTGTTCTTGTTCTTTGACTTGGTGACAGTACCCACTTGTGAGAAACGGTGTTAATAGGGTACCTTTTTTAGCAAGAAGGATTTTTTCGTGGCTTGCTTGCTTCTTCATCGTTAACACCTGTAAAATGTGGGCATGAAGCCAGGCGATTCCTATGATCTCTTCCAACCTTCATTTTTCCACTACATTTCTAAATCAGCAAGTAGAGAAAAAAAACAGGCAGCCTAAACTACAAAGTCTCAGACAGGAACTCTGGAAACTATCCAAAGTTCTCTGTCAATCTAGCACTAGCTACCAACTGGCACCACTATGCCTTAGCATTTACAAACAATGGATTGCTGCTCCAATTTAAAAATGCCTGACAAGGGGAACACAATTAATGGGTACACAGCTGAGAAGAGCCCAGGCCCTAACTGTACTATCTGTGGAAAGCCAGGTCTCTAACAGAGAAATCTTTTCACTTCCAACCTATGGAAAGATAAAAGAGAGAGTAAACAGTAAGGTCAGCTAAAAAAAAAAAAAAAAAAAAAAACTAAAGCAATATGTGAAATTGTCATAAAAAACATATTCCCACCAAGTGGCAAAAAAAAAAAAAAATTCAGAATGATTAGGAAACTGAAAATTGGGACTTCACATTTTCATTAAAAAAAAAAACTGGTATATATTAAAATTCACTTTCATAGGCATTAAAAACACAGGATTTGAACAATCACCAAAGCAGATCAGTTTCATGATTCACTTTATTGAAAGCCTAAAAACATTTTGAAAAAAAAAAAATAATTTCATGAGAAATAGACATCATTCACTCCTGGGACCCAGCCTACATAACTCAAAGATGGAGCTGTAAGCAGCTTTTGCATTCTTGCTTCCAGGCTGTCTTCATACCAAAAAAAAAAAAAGAAATGCCTTCCCCACTTCTGTTTATCTAAGCCCACTCTCCAAGGCCTACTTGAAGTCTCACCACCTTCAGGCAGCCTTCCCCAGCTCCTTCAGCCCATTACAATACCTCAAAAAAAAAAATCCTATAGCACCCACTTTATAACTGATTGTTAATGATCCTTTTAACTGCCTTTTACAATAGCAATTAAAGTTGACATTTTTTCAGTTACCAAAGAAATGTTACATCACGTTAAAAAAAAAAAGTTTCTATATCTATATACAGAGTTGTATTTGGGATCCCCAAGCAAAATACAAAAAAAAAAACTCTTTACATTTTCTATTTGAAATAATACCATGCAAAACAAGGACTGCCTGGACAGTTTCTATTCCTGAAGTCCAGGATTGCAAGGAATTAATATTTTCACACAGCCTAGGAAAAAAAAAAAATCTAACAGATGTCCATGGATATACATCTTTGGATTAAGTCAACATCTTCAGATGACTTACGGCCTTCAAACTTCTAAATCAACTTTTAAAATGTAAGCCTACTGCTTCAGGTGTGAACAAGATTGATTTAAGCTTCCTAATGTAAAAAATAAGTGTCTGATAGATAAGACAAAAAAAAAAAAAACAAGATTAACTGTTAAAAATTAACAGTAGAAGTCTGAAAGGAAGAAGTAAAAAAAAAAATTGGATGGGAGAAGCGGGAAAATTATACCTTTATTTTCACTAACTTTTACAAAAAAAAAAATATTTCTTAATTATGAATATAGGCAATGAACCATGGTAATATTAGCATTAAAAAAAAAAAAGACATCATCTAAAATTACAGGGGTTTTTTTGTTTTGTTTTGTTTTGTTTGAGACGGAATCTCACTCTGTCATCCAGGCTGGAGCACAGTGGCATGATCTTGGCTCACTGCAAAAAAAAAAAACCAGGTTCAAGCGATTATCCTGCCTCAGCCTCCCAATTAGCTGGGATTACAAAAAAAAAAAACCACACCCGGCTAATTTTTGTATTTTAGTAGAGACGGGGTTTCACCATAAAAAAAAAAAAGGTCTTGAACTCCTGACTACAAGTGATCTGCCCACCTCGGCCTCCCAAAGTGCTGGGATTATAGGTGTGAGCCACTGCGCCTGGCCAATTACAGGTATTTTTATACCTTATAAAAAAAAAAATAGATATCTCAAAATATTACATTTGTCATTACTTCTAAGTTATAATAGTTAAAAAAAAAAACCTAGATCACATGTGATCGTGGTCTTTCTATCATGATGAGGCTGGACAACAATTGGGCAACTCTCCTCCTAATAATCATTCAGTCACTAAATGATGACACCTCATACTGGTGGCCCAGACATCTATGCTGCTTCCCAGTACCCCCCATCTACAATTGTTAATCAAAGACCACAAAAAAAAAAAACTGATCTTACACAAACTAAACAAAAACAGTCTTCATGTTGTTGTCTTTAGAACACAAAATTTAACTTTCCCAGATTTTAAATGATCTTATTTAATGTATTAGTAAAACAGAAAAAAAAAAAGTTACAAATGTGTTTTAATAACTGCATTTGAATGTAATTAGTACTCTTTGAAAAAAAAAAAATTTTATTTTAAGCCTTAAAAATATTATTCTGGTAAGGAATCCATGTCATAAAAAAGTTGACAACTCTGATCTAAGGTAGCGTAAAGTATAAAGCCTTCATTTATTCCTTCAAAAAAAAAAACAGTCAGCAAGAATTTACTAAGTACCTACTATAATATTAGGTCAAACTACAAAAAAAAAAAAGTATTTGACTGTTTCTGACCAACCAAAATGGCAGTTTCATATAGTTCAAAAAAAAAAAAATCAGGCCCAATCTGTAAGCCCACTAATAAGAGAGACAGTAATGGAGTAAAAAAAAAAAAAATAAAGAGGGGAAAGACTGATACTTGCAGCAGAAGTTAAAAGTTTTATGAAAAAAAAAAAAAGTAGCACACTGAAAGCAAAGTCAGAAAAAGACAAAGTAACCAGAGGGAATTATCCCTTTAATTATCCTGAACAAGAATGACCCAAATATACTTTCAAATCTCTCTTTGTTTAAAAAAAAAAACACTGATAAGAAATGTTTCCTCAAAGCTTTCTTAATGCTTCAACAATTTTCTTCAAATTACAATAACAAGTAATCTTCTATCTTATAAGAAGCCCACCATAAATTCAATATAAAAAAAAAAAAGAATGATGCCTTACATTTGTATGGCACTCACAAAGTAATTTCACATACAAAAAAAAAAAAGAGTCTAACCAGATCCC